TTATGCAATCAAGTACTAACTCCTGTGTTTATCATGTGACTAAAACAGACAGAAAAGAAAACATGGAATGTCTAACAGCCCTGTTTTTGGCAGTACAATGCCGTAGCTATTAATGTAAGAACAGAAATGATTTTGGTTACTGTCAAGAAAACCATGGAACATGTCTAGATATCAGCTCTTAAATTAAACTCTTATGAGCTATTTTTGTTATCATTATATTTGTCCAAACAAATGTACCTTTAGTTGTACCAGGCATGAAAATGAACATAAAATTGAAGAAAACACGGGTGGTCTAGTCATTTTTTTCCATGACTGTATGTTGTTGTGAAGTTTAGTAACACATCTGCATTTTGTTTTCGTACTAAACAGAAAGTAATACTCACCTCTTCCTTTTCGTACATTGTAGTCAATTGAGATTTCCCTCACCTCCTTCCTCTCCTTTCTCGTCAGTGTGCACGTGTAGTTTGTTTTCACGTTGCGGTACTTCAGACGGTGGTCTGGGATAACGAGTTTGCACTTCTCATTGGATTCATTAAGTAGCAGCGTCTCGTGTGGTGTCGAGAATTCACAGTCGTAGGGCGGAGAGTTTGTACAGTTTGCATAATAGCACTCCAACCTTCCAAAGGATCGAATGATGTGGTTAATGTAAGACTCAGTGCATTTATTGTCAAACCTACAGCATATTCCACATAATTGTGTCATTCATGCGGATACTGGATGATTGAACCTGAGGCTGTTGTTCTTGGTGCAAGCAGTGAAAAAACCGAAATCTCCTTCCTTTTTGGCAGAGGTTAAGCCTGCAATCAAATGGCAGATAGTTTATACAAACCATGTTACACTGTGGTCAACATTATACGATGCTCTTCAGACATCTATGCACAGTTTCATTTAACTAAAGATAAATAAAGACTTTAAATTGGACGGTTTTGTTGTCTTCTGGGGATGCATCATAAATATCTTAAACCAAAAGGTCAACATGGCTCTTTAAGCCAGCACTGTTCTTTAGTGTCATGCACATTTTCATACTTCTGTTCTACCCCTAGACTTTAATTCTTGTTAAATTATTTTATTATATATTTATCATTCACAACTGGTTTGTTTCCTCAAAAAATGAAAATTGAAAAGTCATCCCATTATTTAAATCAGGAGAGAAACACCATTTCACCAATTACAGGCCAGTATCATTACTTTGTCTGTTCTCCAAAATATTGGAAAAAATGTTTATAGCACGACTGAATACATTTATAGATAAACACAATCTGTTAATAGACAGTCAATATGGTTTTAGGGCAAATAGATCAACTGCAATGGTATTGATGGAGTTAACTGAGGAAATCACGAATTTTATAGATAAAAA